CTGACGGCGTCTGGTCAGGGCGCTCCACACAGCCCACGAAAATGCCTCTGAGCAGCTTATTAAACTCTCCTCGCCGTCCAAGACTTGACACCACAACGTTCTCAGCTCAATTCCACAGCTGGCACGTCTGCACACTTCTCTTCTCTTAGAGATATATCACTAGGGGTTCCCTTCTGGCGGGAGCTCAAACGGAGCGCGGCTTCCCCCTGCGATGTCTGGCACTCAAGTGAGGTCAAGGTCCTCCGGAAGCGAGCCTCACGCCTCCAGCAAAATGTCCACATCTCCTCGCCAGTCATTTATCTGCTTTCTTCTTCATTGCCCATAATCTCAAACTGTTATACATATCCAAGCAACTATTTTACATATGGGTTATCACCTCAATATTTGCTAGACCTTCTAGTTAGGTCAGGCTTGATGAATAACTCTCAAGGAGGGAGACTCGTTTCTCCTGTAGGCTGAGATCATAACAGCAGTAAATAGGTATCTGGGAGTTAGACAGCTGTTACGAAGCTGCTTTCTGGGGGTGTCTGTTTGTGTGGGGAAAAAAACATTAGTAGTTAGTTACAGTTGATAGACAGTTGAGAGGCGGGCCGAAAGAGCAGAGCTCAACCCCACAAAAACAAATAGGTAAATACAAACAGGTAAATACAGCACGGCACAGTTGATCACTACGCAAACTCGAGAAGGCAGGTGGGAGTAAGCGGAAAAGCACTTTTTTTTTATTTATATACACAAGAGTTCTTGCATTCTTGTAAGAACTCGAACCACTAGTACGCATAGTGTTTCGGGCAGGTCCTTAATCCTATGTTCCCTAGGATACAACCCTCGCGAAAAATCGTTTAAGAACCAGGTACTCATTTTACTGTTGAGTTAAACAGAGGCTACAGTTAAGGATTTGTGCTCAGTAAATCCTCCCCGGCCAGGATACGAACCTTGGCCAAAGCGCTGGCAGAACGTCTTAACCACTTCACCATGGAGACTGGTAAACATGAAAATCATGGGCTTTTAACATGGGTAAAAAAACTGCTGAGCAGACAAGAGCTAGAGTCACAGTGAGGGGCGAGAAGTCAGACAGGCGTAGATTAACAAGAGTAGGGAAAAACGTGACGTAGACCGTCCCCTCCACCTGACAGATGGTGCAAGTGGATGCACCAGCTGCCAGGTGAAGGGGACGTTCTACATCTGAGGGTGTGTGGACTCTAGCTCTGATCCCCTGGAGAGTGTGAGAGCCAATGGGGAGTGAGGAGGAGGGGGAGTGGGGAGGGAGAAGAAGGGAGGAGTGATGTGGAAGAGTAATTGATGGAAGAGAAAGTGGAAGAGTGAGAAACAAATCAACGTGAAGTAAACCCCTCATGTCATTGCATCAGGCGCGCGCCCCGTTCACGTTGTGCGTCGACCAGTCAGGGGACAGAAGAGGGGAGCACCTCCCCTACATTGGTGTGTCGGTCTCCTAGGTGAGTGTGTGAGAGCCAGTCAGACAGGACCATTATCAAGCTTCTCCCTTTCATGATCTCCTGGGTGAAAGTGTGAGCCAATCAAGCTCCTCCTCCCTTTTCTCCTCAGTGTGTGTGTATGGAGAGGGGGAGACGGAGGAGTCTCCAGCCTTCAGGAGAGAGAGTATATCTCCTCGGGATAGTAGGAGGACAATCGTCTTGAGCCTGGCAATGAACTTTACAAGGTGAGGAGCCTGTTGCACACACACCTTCCCTCTATGACGGAGTCCTTAGCACTGAGGTAAAGCTAACGAGGATCACGAGGTATAGAGCTTTCCGCGCATGTGCAGACCCCACAGGGAGAGAGAGAGAGATACAGACAGACAAAGAAAGAGAGCGAGAGATTATTTCTATTTGATTATGTTTTCTTTTAATTAAATAATTTAGTGAATTTACATTTTGTAACATGTGTTCATATATTGATCATTATTACTTACATATTGCATCATTATATGTATAAATGATCATTATTACTTGTATATTGCATCATTATATGTGAATAAATGAACACTTCTAATATATTGCATCATTATATGTGTATAAAAGATCATTATTATATATATTGCATCATTATATGTGAATATATGATATTTATTATTTATATATTGCATCAATTAATGTGTAAATGATCATAATTACTTATGTATATTGTATCATTATGTTTGTATGTTTGTTCTTGATACAATATATTTATTATGTGAATATGTCATTTTACTATATATACTGAATAATTATGTGTGTGTATATATATATATATATATATATATATATATATATATATATATATATATATATATATATATATATATATATTGCTATTATTTACTTAAAAATTGCAATTCTAAAAAAATTATATATTTGATTTGATTATATTAGCTTATCAAACATTTAGTAACGATCTCTTAGTACAATTTTTTAAGGTGCATTTCCTCATTGTAAATATGTGAGCCAACAGTACACTCCATGTTGCAGTGTTATCATTGTGCACTCCATGTTGCAGTGTTATCATTGTGCACTCCATGTTGCAGTGTTATCATTGTGCACTCCATGTTGCAGTGTTATCATTGTGCACTCCATGTTGCAGTGTTATCATTGCAACATGGGTGTACACTGATATCTGTGTGTACCCATGTTGAAGTGTTATCAGTGTGCACCCGTGTTGCAGTGTTATCAGTGTGCAATAATATTGCAATGTTGAAACAGAACCCAGCTTTTACCTCTTATTCCTGGTTAATGCTAGCCAGTAATTAATACACTGAAGTTCACCAGAGTTCTTACTGTAACCTCCAGTGAGGCCTTGTAAACCTTGCCGTGTGATCGCCTGGGTACCACAAATCAAGGACGTGGTACATCTCAGCTACAAGCAAACACTGAGAGACTTGACTGTTCCCACCATCTAACCCGAAAACTTCTGATATTATGCTAATTAACTGCGGGAAAAGGCTAGTCAATTCCACATATATCCAAGAATGTGGATCCCCAGTTATTTGAAAGAGAGGGATGAATTTACTTTAAATGTGGCTTAACTAATTTACAAAGAAATTTACAATATCACTTCAATAACTATTTATTACACAAAATTTATATAAACAACACTCCCAAATTGAAATCTATTCCTAACTAGAGGCAATGTGTTGACTAATATAACTGGTATTTAACTCACGGTTGACTCTACCGTGAATACACCCAACTGCCTTTGCCGAAATGTTACTGCCTCTGGGAGTGGCCCTCTGTACTCACCTAATTGTGCTTGTGGGGGTTGAGCTTTGTCTCTTTGGTCCCGCCTCTCAACTGTCAATCAACTGGTGTACAGGTTCCTGAGCCTACTGAGCTCTTTCATATCTACATTTGAAACTGTGTATGGAGTCAGCCTCCACCACATCACTGCCTAATGCATTCCACCTGTTAACTACTCTGAAACTGAAAGAATCTTTCTAACGTCTCTGTGGCTCAACTGGGTACCAAGTTTCCACCTGTGTCCCCTTGTTCGCGTCCCACCTGTGCTGAAGAGTTTGTCTTTGTCCACCTTGTCAATTCCCCTGAGCATTTTGTAGGTGGTTATCAAGTCTCCCTTTACTCTTCTGTTTTCCAGGGACGTGAGGTTCAGTTCCTTTAACCATTCCTCGTAACTCATTCCTCTCAGTTCCGGGACAGTGTCCGGGACACTCAGTTCTGTGTCCACTGACCCCCTGATTCCACACAGGTTAAAACTCCATCTGACCTCCCACAAGCAAGGTGACCTTGACTGGTTGCCAAACTAAATTTCAAGCATAATTAAAGCTACCCATATACACTTGATCACTTAAGGTGACTGGCTTCCCATTTAAACTGATGATAGATTTCATTGAGACTTGAGCAAGGTTGATTAATAACTGCAATACTGAATCATACTAGAATTTCTCTAATTTAAATGAACTAACAAACATGTTGGTCGGTAACCACTTGCCACCACCACGTGGCTGCTACTGATCTGAGGGTGTGTCCTGCCTCACTCACAAAGACAGGAATATGTTGTAGTCCTTCTAACGTGATGCTGGGACAAGTGTAGAGGATTCATTTAGAAGATGGGAACTTGGTTGTCAGCTGAGAGGCCGGCCTCGCTCTCGGCCGAGAGCGACTGGAGAGCCTCGCTCTCGGCCGAGATCGTGTCCGGCCTCTCGGCCCGAGAGCGTGTCGCGGCCTCGCTCTCGGCCGAGAGCGTGTCGCGGCCTCGCTCTCGGCCGAAAGCGTGTCGCGGCCTCCCTGGTTGATACCTGGTTGATGGGGTTCTGGGAGTTCTTCTACTCCCCAAGCCCGGCCCGAGGCCAGGCTCGACTTGTGAGAGTTTGGTCCACCAGGCTGTTGCTTGGAGCGGCCCGCAGGGCCACGTACCCACCACAGCCCGGTTGGTCCGGAACTTCTCTTAGAAAACCGTCCAGTTTTCTCTTGAAGATGTCCACGGTTGTTCCGGCAATATTTCTTATGCTCGCTGGGAGGACGTTGAACAACCGCGGACCCCTGATGTTTATACAGTGCTCTCTTATTGTGCCTATGGCACCTCTGCTCTTCACTGGTTCAATCTTGCATTTTCTTCCATATCGTTCACTCCAGTACGTTGTTATTTTACTGTGTAGATTTGGGACCTGACCCTCCAGTATTTTCCATGTGTATATTATTTGGTATCTCTCTCGTCTCCTTTCTAGAGAGTACATTTGGAGAGCTTTGAGACGATCCCAATAATTTAGGTGTTTTATCTCGTCTATGCGTGCCGTATATGTTCTCTGTATTCCCTCTATTTCAGCAATCTCTCCTACTCTGAAGGGGGAAGTGAGTACTGAGCAGTACTCGAGACGGGACAGCACAAGTGACTTGAAGAGTACAACCATTGTGATGGGATCCCTGGATTTGAAAGTTCTCGTAATCCATCCGATCATTTTCTGGCTGACGCGATATTTGCTTGGTTATGCTCCCTAAACGTTAGATCGTCGGACATCATTATTCCCAAATCCTTGACATGCTGTTTTTCTACTATGGGAAGATTCGATCTCGGCTGAGAGCGCGTCCGGCCTCTCGGCTGGCCTCTCGGCTGAGAGCGCGTCCGGCCTCTCGGCTGAGAGCGCGTCCGGCCTCTCGGCTGAGAGCGCGTCCGGCCTCTCTCGGCTGAGAGCGCGTCCGGCCTCTCGGCTGAGAGCGCGTCCGGCCTCTCGGCTGAGAGCGCGTCCGGCCTCTCGGCTGAGAGCGCGTCCGGCCTCTCGGCTGAGAGCGCGTCCGGCCTCTCGGCTGAGAGCGCGTCCGGCCTCTCGGCTGAGAGCGCGTCCGGCCTCTCGGCTGAGAGCGCGTCCGGCCTCTCGGCTGAGAGCGCGTCCGGCCTCTCGGCTGAGAGCGCGTCCGGCCTCTCGGCTGAGAGCGCGTCCGAGAGCGCCTCTCGGCTGAGAGCGCGTCCGGCCTCTCGGCTGAGAGCGCGTCCGGCCTCTCGGCTGAGAGCGCGTCCGGCCTCTCGGCTGAGAGCGCGTCCGGCCTCTCGGCTGAGAGCGCGTCCGGCCTCTCGGCTGAGAGCGCGTCCGGCCTCTCGGCTGAGAGCGCGTCCGGCCTCTCGGCTGAGAGCGCGTCCGGCCTCTCGAGAGCGCGTCCGGCCTCTCGGCTGAGAGCGCGTCCGGCCTCTCGGCTGAGAGCGCGTCCGGCCTCTCGGCTGAGAGCGCGTCCGGCCTCTCGGCTGAGAGCGCGTCCGGCCTCTCGGCTGAGAGCGCGTCCGGCCTCTCGGCTGAGAGCGCGTCTCTCGGCTGAGAGCGCGTCCGGCCTCTCGGCTGAGAGCGCGTCCGGCCTCTCGGCTGAGAGCGCGTCCGGCCTCTCGGCTGAGAGCGCGTCCGGCCTCTCGGCTGAGAGCGCGTCCGGCCTCTCGGCTGAGAGCGCGTCCGGCCTCTCGGCTGAGAGCGCGTCCGGCCTCTCGGCTGAGAGCGCGTCCGGCCTCTCGGCTGAGAGCGCGTCCGGCCTCTCTCGGCTGAGAGCGCGTCCGGCCTCTCGGCTGAGAGCGCGTCCGGCCTCGGCTGAGAGCGGCTGAGAGCGCGTCCGGCCTCTCGGCTGAGAGCGCGTCCGGCCTCTCGGCTGAGAGCGCGTCCGGCCTCTCGGCTGAGAGCGCGTCCGGCCTCTCGGCTGAGAGCGCGTCCGGCCTCTCGGCCTCCGGCCTCTCGGCTGAGAGCGCGTCCGGCCTCTCGGCTGAGAGCGCGTCCGGCCTCTCGGCTGAGAGCGCGTCCGGCCTCTCGGCTGAGAGCGCGTCCGGCCTCTCGGCTGAGAGCGCGTCGGCCTCTCGGCTGAGAGCCGTCCGGCCTCTCGGCTGAGAGCGCGTCCGGCGGCCTCCGGCCTCTCGGCTGAGAGCGCGTCCGGCCTCTCGGCTGAGAGCGCGTCCGGCCTCTCGGCTGAGAGCGCGTCCGGCCTCTCGGCTGAGAGCGCGTCCGGCCTCTCGGCTGAGAGCGCGTCCGGCCTCTCGGCTGAGAGCGCGTCCGGCCTCTCGGCTGAGAGCGCGTCCGGCCTCTCGGCTGAGAGCGCGTCCGGCCTCTCGGCTGAGAGCGCGTCCGGCCTCTCGGCTGAGAGCGGCCGGCCTCTCGAGAGCGCGTCCGGCCTCTCGGCTGAGAGCGCGTCCGGCCTCTCGGCTGAGAGCGCGTCCGGCCTCTCGGCTGAGAGCGCGTCCGGCCTCTCGGCTGAGAGCGCGTCCGGCCTCTCGGCTGAGAGCGCGTCCGGCCTCTCGGCTGAGAGCGCGTCCGGCCTCTCGGCTGAGAGCGCGTCCGGCCTCTCGGCTGAGAGCGCGTCCGGCCTCTCGGCTGAGAGCGCGTCCGGCCTCTCGGCTGAGAGCGCGTCCGGCCTCTCGGCTGAGAGCGCGTCCGGCCTCTCGGCTGAGAGCGCGTCCGGCCTCTCGGCTGAGAGCGCGTCCGGCCTCTCGGCTGAGAGCGCGTCCGGCCTCTCGGCTGAGAGCGCGTCGCGGCCTCTCGGCCGAGAGCGCGTCGCGGCCTCTCTGCCGAGAGCGCGTCGCGGCCTCTCTGCCGAGAGCGCGTCGCGGCCTCTCTGCCGAGAGCGCGTCGCGGCCTCTCTGCCGAGAGCGCGTCGCGGCCTCTCTGCCGAGAGCGTGTCCGGCCTCTCAGCTGACAACCAAGTTCCCATCTTCTAAATGAATCCTCTACACTTGTCCCAGCATCACGTTAGAAGGACTACAACATATTCCTGTCTTTGTGAGTAGCTTGGAGCAAGTCAACGATATATAATACTCTGAAGACTAAGTAATACTCTTTCACGTGGCACATTAACCAAGATGGAGTCTTAGAGTAGAAGAGGGAGGGGGGGTGAGGTGAGGGTGCCTGCTACACTAGTGACCTGCCAAGATCAGTGTGGCTACTGTGACTAAGGGAGCCGGTCGGCCGAGCGGACAGCACGCTGGACTTGTGATCCTGTGGTCCTGGGTTCGACCCCAGGCGCCGGCGAGAAACAATGGGCAAAGTTTCTTTCACTCTATGACCCTGTTACCTAGCAGTAAAATAGGTACCTGGGTGTTAGTCAGCTGTCACGGGCTGCTTCCTGGGGGTGGAGGCCTGGTCCAGGACCGGGCCGCGGGGACACTAAAGCCCCGAAATCATCTCAAGATAACCTCGCAAGTCACGCCGCTCTGTGTACTAAATTCTTGGCTGATAATCATACCTGCCTACATATTTCTTCACTCCTTCCTTCCTTCTTTCAACCTTCAATTAAGGAGTACACATTATCTATTCTTTAAAAGGGCAACCTCAAGATGGAACTCTATATGGAACACTTCACGTGACAACATCTTTAATCCTGTCCTCAGACGTGTTCTCTCACAGCCGGTCGTGTCCTACCCCCGTCCCTCCATACTGCTGGCATGAACACCTACATTTAAAATTAACCAATGTATTTGACAAGAACACACAACTATGCACAGTAAAGCTGTTATAATGTTATCAGTGTGCTCTGTTGATGCTGTGTTATCAGTGTGCAATAATGGTGCAATATTATTTGTGTGCTCTGATGTTCGAATGTCTTAATTGTGCGCTCGCGTGGCAGTGTTGTGTTGCAAACTGCTAACGCATCCACATTTCATATAAATGTTACCAAACTAATTGTTAGTAAACCTTAATATCAGAAACAATGACAAAATCCGTTGGAGCCGTGATGAGAATTGGAACCCATGCTCTGGGTACTCCCAAGCACACGCCCAGGACACGACATGGCCAAAGAATTGCAACCTGGGGTTCTACTGAACCCACGAGGGTTCCTGAGGCTCTACTGAAGCTGAGGCAGGGTTTCACACCCCTCCTCCCTCATGCACGTCAATGGACGCCAGAGCCAGAGTGTTGACAAACACATAAAACATGTTCAGGCACATCGTTACAGACAGGCTACTCCTTAATCCAAAATGCTGCCAAATTCACTCGTGTTCCCCAAAAAGTTTACGTTAATCTCGTAGGCGATACAATCATACTTTACTAACTACACCTGTTATAGGGCAAAATTATAGTAAACTTTCCAAATTCTGATTTCAAATTCAATGGTTCACGGTTAACCGTTTCAGAACCATTTGATTATATCCATTGATGCCTTGATATCAACTAAGCCGTTTCATCAGATGTTATGCTACTAGACAAGCTGTCAACAGACAAGCTGTCATCAGGCAGGCTGTCATCAGGCAGGCTGTCAACAGGCAAGCTTTCTATCGGTTGCCTTGGTATCAGACGGGCTCCAAAGCCACTCTCGTCTGATATAATGATACTAGACTAAATCTCTTCATAATCTATATCGAGAAATAATGTTAGTGGCCATTTTTTTAATAAAATTCAATGTTACCACACGAACTGGTTACGACACTCTTGTCTCGGGGGACAGGCAGCCATCGTATATACACATGTTAGGCTTATATCAAAGTCCCCCCCCTAGGTCGAATTACTGAACCCACAACAAACTAACTCCTGGCTCCGTGCTGACTGCTAGGTCAACAAGGGCATTAGTAGAGAGGAAACGCGCCTAACCATTTCTGTTCCGCCCGGGATTCGAACCCGGAATGAGAGTTCTAGAGTCTCGTTCATTCTCGATATAAAGCTATCAATATAAAAATAATACATATAAATCATATAAATATAAAGATAGTAGATATAAATGTTATTAATATAAAAATAATACATATAAATGTTATCAATATAAGGATAGTAGATATGAACGTTATCAATACAAGGATAATAGATACAAATCTTATCAATATAAGATTAAAGGATACAACTGATATTTCAACAAATGTTATATGATACAATGTTACAAAATTCGTGTCAGCAACATTTGCACCAGATTCAACGTTAGAATCAACGTAACAAGATACAGTGGTTCAAAGTTTGCTGTATTATCGAAACCATTTTTCCAAACGCAATAACTCGAGTTCCGGGATACAATTGCGCCAGATATAATGTTGCCAAATCAAATTTTACGAGACAGTATTGCAAAATACAACATTTTCTGAACGTTACATAATGCAATGGTAAATTATACAATAGTTTACCGGGACTGATACAATATGTGCAGATACCACAATATATCGCACAGTTCTACAGATTACACTGATACTAAAACTTTTTTATTGCAATAATTTTATCGTTGTTTTTATAAATGAAAATGTCATATAAAAAAATGAACTGGTGTCAAAAATACGAATACATGATAATGTTATTTTTTTTCAGACGAACGCTTCGCAGCGGTGACCTATTGTCGCAGCGGTGACCTATTGTCGCAGCGGTGACCTAGTGTCGCAGCGGTGACCTATTGTCGCAGCGGTGACCTATTGTCGCAGCGGTGACCTATTGTCGCAGCGGTGACCTATTGTCGCAGCGGTGACCTAGTGTCGCAGCGGTGACCTATTGTCGCAGCGGTGACCTATTGTCGCAGCGGTGACCTATTGTCGCAGCGGTGACCTATTGTCGCAGCAGTGACCTATTGTCGCAGCGGTGACCTATTGTCGCAGCCCTGACCTATTGTCGCAGCCCTGACCTATTGTCGCAGCGCTGACCTATTGTCGCAGCGGTGACCTATTGTCGCAGCGGTGACCTATTGTCGCAGCGGTGACCTATTGTCGCAGCGGTGACCTATTGTCGCAGCCCTGACCTATTGTCGCAGCGGTGACCTATTGTCGCAGCGGTGACCTATTGTCGCAGCCCTGACCTATTGTCGCAGCGGTGACCTATTGTCGCAGCCCTGACCTATTGTCGCAGCCCTGACCTATTGTCGCAGCGGTGACCTATTGTCACAGCGGTGACCTATTGTCGCAGCGGTGACTTATTCTCACTGCCCTGACCTATTGTCGCAGCCCTGACCTATTGTCGCAGCCCTGACCTATTGTCGCAGCCCTGACCTATTGTCACTGCCCTGACCTATTGTCGCAGCCCTGACCTATTGTCACAGCCCTGACCTATTGTCACTGCCCTGACCTATTGTCGCAGCCCTGACCTATTGTCGCAGCCCTGACCTATTGTCGCAGTCCTGACCTACTGTCGCAGCCCTGACCTATTGTCGCAGCCCTGACCTATTGTCGCAGCCCTGACCTATTGTCGCAGCCCTGACCTATCGTCGCAGCCCTGACCTATTGTCGCAGCCCTGACCTATCGTCGCAGCCCTGACCTATTGTCGCAGCCCTGACCTACTGTCGCAGCCCTGACCTACTGTCGCAGCCCTGACCTATCGTCGCAGCCCTGACCTATCGTCGCAGCCCTGACCTATTGTCGCAGCCCTGACCTATTGTTGCAGCCCTGACCTATTGTCGCAGCCCTGACCTACTGTCGCAGCCCTGACCTACTGTCGCAGCCCTGACCTATCGTCGCAGCGCTGACCTATCGTCGCAGCCCTGACCTAGTGTCGCAGCCCTGACCTATTGTCGCAGCCCTGACCTATTGTTGCAGCCCTGACCTATTGTTGCATCCCTGACCTATTGTCGCAGCCCTGACCTATCGTCGCAGCGCTGACCTATTGTCGCAGCCCTGACCTAGTGTCGCAGCCCTGACCTAGTGTCGCAGCGCTGACCTATCGTCGCAGCGCTGACCTAGTGTCGCAGCGCTGACCTATCGTCGCAGCGCTGACCTATTGTCGCAGCACGTGTTGATAATACAAGTGGCCACCCTATGTCAACCCTGCAACGTTGCCATGTTTGTTCAAATTCCTCCATGTCTTGGTTGCATGTCATATATGTTTATGGATGTCAGGTGTGTACTTCTAACACCTGTTTATATGTTAATAAACATTATTATTAATATTTATTATTAATATTTGTTTATATATAAAACATTTCTTCATACTTGAGCTTTTTCATGTATGATAATACTGTGTATATTACTGAGTATGATATTTGTTTATGCATTTCTACCGCTTAGATGCTACGATAATTTATATATAAATTGTGTGTATGTAAATTTGACAAATTATTATATAATTCAAAATTAGTTAATATATATGAGAGTTGCTATCTTAAAATAAATAATATAATTTTTTTGTACTTTATACCCAGATTAATTATTGAAATTATACTGCCATTGGACATTTATTTTTTTTATAAAAGTTTATCATTGACAAATGATTTGGGTTGATACAAGTTTAAAGTGGGGCTAATTTATTTATTTACAAAAATGTATTCATTTTCTCAGTGACAGGCAGCCTGTCTGTATGTATATATTTGTATACTTAGACAGCTGTCGTTCCTTTAGGCATATTTAGTTATATATGACCGCATTGCTGACGTTGGTGATCTTATACTATAAGTTATATATATGTTTCTATCTTCTTATCCTCGGGATAAAGAGTAATCAAGTTACGGAAATTCATAGTAAAGGAATTTTAATGGTTATTAAAGGGAATATTTTCTACAACGTTTCGTTCCACTCTGGATCATCATCTTGTAGAGTGAATATACAAGGTGCAAATTTATCTTAAATACATATGTGAAATATGTGAAGTTGTGTGGGGAGTAATCAGGTCAAGTAATCACCTCATTACCTCGATATATACCTAACGTGTATGCATACACTCTGGCTACCTGTCCCCCGACACAATGCATTCTTATAATTATTACAAGACAAATTTGTCGGAAAGATTAATATTTAACGAAAACTGGGTTTGCTAAG